GCCATGCAAGCGAGATGCTGTCAGCTGTCCAACAACGTTTTTTCAGAAACTTTCTTCTTTATCGGCCTTGCTCTCAAACTTTCTGCACACAGGTTCCAACTCTCTAATTTTCCAAGACTTTTCCAGTAGTTTTTCTAGACAACAGAAGACAGCACTAATGGACACACAGTGTTAGCTCACTTTTATAGCGTACAAGTAAATAATTCCAGGACAATGTAGTTAATTTCCAGGATATTTGGTTGTATTAATCAGTTCCCAGGATGGAACCCTGAAAATTTAGTAAGAGTTAGTTTTGCCTGCATCCTCTAACGCCACCCAACCAAACTCCTGTTTCCAAGATTATTGAAATGCCTCAGCTCATAAACTTTGTCTTTACTTGCTGCCATTTTCCTCATTTCACCCTCATCAATGCTGAGGATGTGCAACTCTCAACAGAGATGAGAAGGAAGCGAGATGGCTCTTTAGCACCTTCCATCATCAGCTCTGGCGTTTAACTTGACCCTTGCAAGCGGGCAATCCTTATTGTTGAGCCCTGTTCTAGCTGAGGAGTCTTTGAACTTACTGTATACTTGAAATTTGATACTAATTTCATAACTTTTAAGCTGCCAAATCTTGGTTATTTAAGCAACAAACCTGTCTTTAATTCTGTGTTTTATGTGGGTGTTTTTTATATTCTTTTATGTATTGTTTACTTTTTCTTTACCTTCCAGAGCGGGAACAGCCTAACCTGGAGTGATCCATCTGAATAAAGGAGGGGTTTCCAGGGGAGAGACCAAGTAGGGGTGGGAGGGGTGTGTCTTTTTTTAAAAAGAAATATGTTTTAAGAAGATATATTTCTAGTTGATAATAAGTCGTATTACAGTGTTGAATGACTTAATTGATAGGGTCTCTTGAGTAGGTGGAGCCCATCTGTATAAAAAGGGAGAAAGCCGGAGGGCCTGGAGGTTTATTCTGGACTGACGCCGCTACAGACGCTACAGGCTCCTGCGCCGGGCTCATTTTAGTAGCACCTTTCTCATGTTCGGCCAACTCACTTAGGCCAATCATATGAGTTAGTTACATCAATTTTACAGGTGGAAACATCTGGATCACGAAAGCCACAAGGCTGAGACGGCTGCAACCACCACTGCAGGTAGCACAGAGAAGATTCATGTGAAAATATGAAACACTGTTTAACATTTACTGTATGTCATATATAAAGTGAAGATCTGTAAACGTGCAGTAAAACATGAGCTGTGAGTTCATCCTGTACAGACTGGTTCCTGACTGGATTTACCCTGCACACACACACACACACACACACACACAGCTTTACTGAGGTTTTAGATAAAAATAACTGGGGAGTCAAGTTGAGTCAAATGTATTTATAGGACACATTTCACAGTGACACAGCACAGTGAGCTGCGTTCAACAAACATCGTTCATTACAAACAAAAATAATAAATACTTTCAGGATGGTTGGTTAATGCACTATAACAAAACCCTGGAACTGGACAGGAAAGTGTATCATTGTACTTCAATAAGTGAAAACTACAGCAATACTCCTTCAAAACTGTTTTCTTTTGACATTTTAACAGTTTTTGGTCGCTTTGGTGACTCTGTGTCTACGTCACAATCCGCTATAACTGTTGTGAATCCGAGCACACAACAGTTATGTGACATGTCACAACAGAGCTACCTTTAAAGACCTGCAGGAGCCAGTTTCACCCTCAAAAGACAGAATTTAACACATTTCTTTCATTTCACCTTCACATCTTCACATAATAGATAGTCCGAAAATAAAAGTGATTTGACCCTTTATAAGTCGTATATAAGTAGTATATAGTAGTACTATATATATGATATGCTAGGTTGATCTATGTTGAAAAGACAACTACATTTTGAAGATGGTTAAAAGATAAGTGACATACAGACAACCAACACAAAGCTCCTAACCTCTCATAGGTAATACTTTAATTTCTCCTTTAATCTACTTTAATCTCCCGTCTGTATGTACGAGGGGTCTGCAACCTTTTTTAAACTTGATATCTATAGTTAGCCTAGCTTAGCAGAGTCAAGACTATTATCCATGAAGTTTGACAAAATATATAGAAAGAAGCACCAAGACGTAACGTATGACTCATATTTTAGTTGATGTTTTATTTGGTGTGTAACAGCTAAACAAGTTTACAATTGGAGAATGTTAGAATCACTTTAGACTCACAGCAATGATAAATGTAAATGTCATTATCATTTAACGTCAAAGCCACAGCTACTGTTTTGCTCACATTAGCTAACTTAAGATGTGAGTATGTATGTGTCTCGTATCTTTTAACCATCTTCAAAATGTGTTTCAACATAGATTAGTCTAGCATATAGCATATCTAAGTCATTGGAGCCCAGAACAAAAAGGGGCGGGGCTTAGAAAAGGCCCCAAATTGTCAGGTGCTGCAGGTTTTTAAACCAATCTTTAAACAACACTCTCCCGGATAATGTAACAACCCTATATGTTTATGTGATGAATTATTAATTATTTCAACTTTATTTCGGAATACTACAATACCCATGAGCCTCGGACGCCATTGCTATGTTGAAGAAGTCAGAGTCAACATAGTTGTTGACGTTCAAAATGAACCTAGAATCTGAAAGTGAATGTTACCTTTAACCCGCCGTTAGTGGCACACATCACAGAATTTAAAGGTCAGTAATTAAATGTTTCTTGTTGAATAGTTTTTATACTTTCAACTTTTTATTAAAGAAACAGTTAATATTTTTTGCTGATGATTCAACCACAAGAGTTTAATGCCGACCGAACGTAGAAGCTCCAGCTGTGAGTCACGTAACATTGAAAAATTAATGGGACTTTAACTGAACCGGAGGCGTCCAAAATATTTCGTCCCACTCGGACTCACTCACTATGATGGACTGTCCAGAGGCACGTCTTACCCAGAATGCTTTGTGATTGTTTGGTTGGATTTTAAAAACAAACAAAAAGTAAAAGTAAATAAAAGCGTAACGGAAATATCTCCACTGTACATACAGCGTATCTGCAGTAGCGTCGCTGTGGTCGTTGGCCTTCTGCACATGCTCCTCGGCTTACAGGCTGATCCCTCCACGTATTACTTCACTCTCGTCCGTATCGTGTTGCTCAAAAGTTGAAATATTCACGGCGACATCTGTTTAATTAAAAATCCAGACCCTGATCGATCTGTGCCAAACCGCAAATGCAGAGGTTTAAACTGCCACCCTCCTCCTCCTCCCTCTGCATCACTTCTTGTTCTCTGTTCTTCCTGAAGAGCAGCTCACAGTTGCTTTATTATTTATCTGCCGGCGTTGGGCCAACAGTTGCTGCTCTGCCTCTTGTCCTCTCTGAAGCCCCGGGGCCGCCACCTGGAGCTGTCACTTCACTTCACTAATGCGGCCTCGGCTGCTCAGAGACCGTCTGCAGAAAACTTCACTCCAAAAAAACGACGGATCAAATGGGGAGAATATTTTAGGAAGAAGTCAGAACATCCAAACTGAAGTTTTGGTTTAGTCAGGTCTGACACACACACAACGATTCCTTTACAGATTCCCTGATTTTGGCTTTAAAGAAGTCGGTGACGGTTCCTGATCTCATTGCAAATAGATACTGGACATATAGATATCCCATAAACTTACTCTGTGGCCACCAAATATTACATCAGGGTTTCTACTCTTTAAGTATATTTTTTTTGGCTTTTTATGACTTTATTTGAAAGGACAGCTATAGACAGACAGGAAAGGGGGG